TGTTCTCATTCTTTCGGTTTTATTCTTCTTCTTTTTTTTTGGGCGTTCTTGCAATTCCTTTTCTATTGTTGGATATTTTGGTTTCATTCTCTCTTTCACTCTCTCTCCTTTCTTCAATTTTCTCTCTCTTCTTTTGCATTGCTCCTTGAATTCTCCACAGTGTGTGTGTGTGTGTGTGTGTGTGTGTGTGTGTGTGTGTGTGTGTGTGTGTGTGTGTGTGTGTGTGTGTGTGTGTGTGTGTGTGTGTGTGTGTGTGTGTGTGTGTGTGTCCCATCCGATGCGGTTATGCAGACAGCATTACACAGTGTTAAAAAAAAATGGTGTTTTTTTTAATCATATTTCTAGAGTCCATAAAAAGCGAGGAGGGGTTGAGTACATGTGGTTCTGAGTACAGACGGTAATGTTTCATGTGTTTTTCTGTGTTTTTTTTTCTCTCTCGTTTGGATTGCATTAGCAGACGCTTGAGAGTTATGATGTTATATTTTTACTCTCAAAGTCCGGATAAATGAGGGGGTTATATCCACGTGGTTGAGTCCGGTTAAATAATGTTTCGTGGGTGTTTTTTCCCCGTTTTTTTCTCGTTTTAAACTATAATTAAAGGTGTTTTACAATCTTCCAAGCGTCATTACAACCACTAATTACCCCGCAATCAAAATGTGTTCTTATGGACGGATTTAATTATTTAATCCTATTTAATTTCACAGCAGAGAAAAGTCACAATCGGGTGAAAATACCGCCAGGAGTCACCCCCTTCCACTCACTTTCATCTTTACAACGAGTCTCTACTTTCACCAATGATTTTCTCTCTCTTTTGAAAATTAAAAGAATATTAAAAATTTCTCAAATATAAAGTAATGAAAAATATTTCTTATGGATTATATAAACTTTAATATCCAGTCAAAGGCACCGGAAAAATAACCTAACCTAACCTAACCTAACCTAACCTAACAGTCAAAGAACACACAATGCTGCCATCATCAAGACTAAAAACAATAAACCCCTCAAAGACATTATATCTCATGAAAAAAAAAAAATCTTTACATTAGGAAGAAGATTCTCCAACAGGCGTCCCCCCCCCCCTCCAGCCATTCATGTGATCTCAATAAAAATGTCAATATTTGTCCCTGAGTTAAAGGAACCTCACCCAGCTGCCTACCTGGTGTGTGAAACTCCTGCGTTGGGGCTCTAGTACAACACACACACATACACGCACACGCACACACACACACACACACACACACACACACTAACTCGTACAATATCCCGCCTCTGCCAGGGAAAAAATACTAAGACGTAATCCACTCCTTGTTGTGATGAGTTTCCTGGAGTTCAGGGGGAGATTTTTTTCCCCCCTGGCGGTGTATTTCTGGGAAGGTTAGAAAACAACACCTGTAAAGTGGCTTGTATTTTGTAGGTTAGGTTAGGATTGGATGAGTGATTGGCTGAGTAAATGGATGAGTGACTGACTGAGTGACTGGATGCGTGGCTGGCTGAGTGACTGGCTGAGTGAGCGGATGACTGGCTGTGTGGTTGGATGAGTGACTGAATAATTTGTTGACGGCTTGAGTGACTAGACGTTTTAACAGACTAACTGAACTGACTAACTTTTTGACGGATAGACTGACTGACAGAGAGATTGCACATCTATGACTGACTCTTTCATCCATCTCACTTTCTCTCTCTCACGCACACACACACATACACTTACACACACACTCTCTCTCTCTCTCTCTCTCTCTCTCTCTCTCTCACCACCTGTTTTCCAACCCTTTCAAGAATTCGGCAAAGTACCAACTGCTCGCCCTACAGGTTAATTGGTTTTAGGCCACACAGGTAAAATAACACAATTCACTCTCTGACATAATTGACTTACCCAGCTGCCTTATGACGTGATTTGCTCGGCCCTCTAACGACCTAACTACTCTCGCTGCTTGTTACATACACTCGAGGTCTAATGAGATGGAGAAACAGGTGAGTCAGGTGTGTTTATGCTCTCTCTCTCTCTCTCTCTCTCTTTATTTACTCCCCATTCCCCAACTCTCCAAACGCACACTAAAATCTTTACCACCCGTTCTCTTCTTCTCTTCACCTCCTCCCCACTCCTCTCCCCTACTCCCCACTCCACTCCCCCTCTTCCCACTCCCCTCCCTCTCTCCCCACTCCCCTCCCTGACCTTGAACCACAACTCACGCCAATTACTCTCACAGTTTAGTAGTCTTTTACCGAGCCTCGTCTGACCCATTCAAGACGAGGTGATGCGAGAAATGTTTTGGAATAGTTTTTAATCTAAGAAAAGATGATTACTGGAGCCTGGAGCACCTACCGAAGTTGAGGAAACAGCCGGGAAACTTGGGAGGTGGTGAGGGGGGTGGGAGGTGAGGGAGGTGTTGGGTGAGGGTGAGGAGGATGAGGAATGAGGTGTGGGGTGTGGGGGGTGAGGGGTGGGGGAGGTGTGGGATGAAGGGTGAAGGAGGGTATTGGGGTGAGGGAGGTGTCGGGGGGAGGTGTGGGGGGTGAGGTTGGTGGAGGGAGAAGAGGAAAATAAGGAAGTGAGGGGAACAAGTCCGACTAGCAGGAGGAGGAGGAGGAGGAGGAGAAGGAGGAGCAAAAGGAAGAAGAAAAAAAACAGAAAAAAGGAAGCAGAATAAAGAGGAGAAGCAGGAGGAAGAAGAAGCAGGAAGAAGCAGGAAGAAGCAGGAAGAAGAAGAGGAAGAAGCAGGAAGAAGAAGAAGAGGAATCAATGAAGTTGGCGAGGCACTGTTTCACAACAACAAAAATTACCTTCCACTCTCTAATGAACACTCTCATTCATCATGTCTTCCCGGAGCTTCCCCGATAATTGCTTAGTTGCTCGGGAGGAACACGGACCTATATAAATAAAAGATTCAGTACAGGTAGGTAATAAGTCACTCACTGGGACTACATATGTTGTTTGTCACTCACTACAGGTAGCACATATGCTCCTTAATTGCTCCATGTGTTCAAGTGACTCAGTAAAGGTATGTAAGTAAATTTGTCTGTTTGTCTGTCTGTAGGTGTGCAAATTTGTCTGTTTATCTTTGTCTGAGTTTAAATTGGTCTGTATTTCTGTCTGTCTGTCTGTCTCTCATTATCTCTCTCATCTCTCCCTGTGTTCTCGTTTTACGTTTGCTGTCTCTCTCTGTACACCCCCAGTGTGTCTTTAATGTGTCAATACTTCCTATCCTGTGGACCAGAGTGTCTCCTCTTGTAGACTCCTCCTCCTTCTCCTCAATCCTCCTTCTCCCCTCTTCCTCCTCCCATTTAATCCTCTTCCTCCTTCTCCTCCATATTACCCCTCTTCCTCCTTCTCCTCCTGCTCTCCCCTTCTCCCGCCTCTCGCTTACCCTCCACCCTCCTCCTCCTCCCTCATCATCTGGGGTGTTGGTGTTGTCGTTTACTGAGATCGACAATATCGGGGGGGTGGGGCTGAGGAGTGTGGGGAAGGGGGCAGAGGTGGGGGGGGGGGAGGGGTAGAAGTGGGGGAGTAAAGGGGTGGGGGGGGTGGGGAGGGTGGGGAGGGAGCAGGGGGTGAAAGAGGTGGGGGGGTGAATCGTCCGTTCTTTATCCCGTAAAAAAAAAAAATCGTATTTAATATTTTTCTTTCGTATTGTTAAAATTCTCTTTGTTAATTTACCCTTAAAAAAAATATCCACCTGTCAATCATCGCCAAGAGCCGTGTCATAAAAAAAGTAAACGTCAGCACGAGCAATCATCAGCGCCTGACGTTCGCTCTCCCACCTCTGTGTTCCCCAAACAATCAAGAATCACTAAAAAAAAAATTCCTCACGCATCTTGTCAGCGAATCCTAAAAAAAAAAAAAATCATGTCCCAGAATAGTGCTAGTACGGGCATTGACATTCGCCTGGCGTTCATCTTCACCCTGAATGGATACAAAGACATACGAACAGACAAGTGGAAGTCCATATATCCCTCAGAATTCGCAGTGAGAGGCATAAAAAAAACCCCAACGCCAACACGAGAATTTACCATCGCCAGGCTTTTCTTCCTTCCACCTCAAGATGACACTCTAACACAAGCTTCCGCCAGGTGATAGTTTGCCCGACTTTCTCCAGCACTGGCGAAGTATAAGACAGGAAAGACAAGACTCATAACTTAAGTGGACAGGTAAGTGTGTATTAATCCCGTGTAATTAGTGGAACAGGTTGACAAATATCCCCGGATATAAATCATGCAAATTACTTCTTAAAAACCACGATTATTTTTTTACGGTAATGAGAATAAATCAGTTGAGTGTTTTTATTTTATTTATTTATTTATTCCATCTATTTTGCTAATGGTCGTTCTTACATTCATCTTGGCTTTAATGAATGTGATAAATTAATGGCACGTCAACGCCTCAAGGTAACGCAAACACCAGATGACAAACTCCAGGTGACAGGTAATGAGATAAGAATTACAAAATTTTCATCAAATATAAAATTTACCTGTAATTATATTTTCCTAATTAATCATCATCAAATACACACAAACATCTTCATTTTAATTAATCATTTAACCTCATTAATCTTATCTGTTGTTGTATTGTTTACTTGTTGTGTTTGTTTGACTCCATAATAACAGAAGGGGTTAAGAATATCACCTTTAGGTGTGTCTGTCATCAGCAGCAGGTGTGTCTGTCATGAGCAGCAGGTGTGTCTGTCATCAGCAGCAGGTGTGTCTGTCACCGTCGATATTTTTCATGGCAAATATTTTAAACCTGATATTTTGTCATTTTTTGCATTTTTTGGAGTTAATGACCCGTTGATTTCTTTCTCAGACTCTCTTTATTTTTATGTCTGTCTGTGTCTCTCACTCTCTCTCTCTCTCTCTCTCTCTCTCTCTCACTTCACCTCTATTTATCTCTCTCTCTCGTTCTCTTCTTTACCTAAAATATTTCTCATCTCATGCCATATCCTATTACACCTGATACTCCACCCCTGACCTTCACACTGTCACTAACCTTGGCACTCTCTACTGACCTTGGCACTGGACTGCTGACGTTGTGGTAGAGCTTCCTGGTGTGGGCCTCGTAGATCTGAAGGCGGTAGGTCTGGGGCATGGAGGGAGGATCACCCGACTGACAGCTGACAGTGACTACCTCCCGCCCTTGTCCTGACAGACTACAGTTGATGGGAGCTGACGGCGGCGCTGTAACAGATGACAGGAGGGTATAATATACAGTATACATAAAGTTTATATATCAGTATATTTATGTATATCTATATGTATGTATGGATATAAAACTATACATTATGAAACATCTGTATAATCATCTCCCACTCCCTTCCTTCCTCTTATCTACGCCTCCCTCTCTCCCTCCCTCTCTCCCTGCCTCCCTCCCTCCCTGAGCCTCATCTACGGAGACGGGCGCCACAATACTCCTGCACCAGCCAGCCCATCAATCTCCCTGGGTGAAGCTCGACCAACTGACGCTGATGCACCGTAAACAACCACTGTGCCATATATCACACACCTCAGCCTGGCACCATCATGATCATACCGCGAAAGTGCCTCCCAGTGCCACCCCATATATTACCGATGGATAGGGACGGAGGGAGAAGGGGAGAGGGGCAAGAAGGGTGAGGATGGGAGGAAGGAGGAAGGGAGGTAGAGGAATGAGTGGTAGGAGGTAGGCATGTATGGAGAGGGTAGATGGAAGAGAGATAAGGGGGAGGAGAAGGAGAGGAGAAATGGGGAATGGGATGAGACAGACAGACAGACAGACAGACAGATATAATATCCACCATCCTTATAAAACTCCTCCCAGCTCTCACAAACCATAACAAGAATATGAGGTTACAGGCACTAACAACCAAACAAGGTCGTTCCCTAGGTCACGTACTCGTCGTAATGTCAACCAACGTTAGAGCAGCCAGACACTAGATGCATTTTATTCCCCAGTTTGTTTGATTATTGTTACTGTAGCAATTCTCTCTCTCTCTCTCTCTCTCTCTCTCTCTCTCTCTCTCTCTCTCTCTTTGTGTCTGTCAAGAAAACCATCATAAAAATAAAGAGTATTTGGCCCAACAAACTCTCACGTGTGATTGTAAAACGTCAGTGGTGTTTCATACAAGTAATGGATCCAGAGTGAGTGTGGCGCTGATAGACGGACAGACAGACAGTGAGTTACAATAGGTGCATCGAGAACTGACAGTAAGAAATAAAAGATGTGAGAAGAATGTGTTGAGAAGAATGTGCTCAGAAGAATGTGTTGAGAAGAATGTGCTCAGAAGAATGTGTTGAGAAGAATGTGCTCAGAAGAATGTGTTGAGAAGAATGTACTCAGAAGAATGTGTTGAGAAGAATGTGCTCAGAAGAATGTGTTGAGAAGAATGTGCTAAATGTGAATGTCTCTCCCTGGACGAACATCTAAATGGACAAGACTACATTGAGAGGTTAGGTTAGGTTAGGAAGATTGAAGAAGGATATGAACAGGATATAGTGATAAGTTAACGAGGTCTAAACATGAACAGGATATAACAGTATGGATGAGAAATAACAGACATATACCAGGTTATAGTCTTAGTATAAATAATGTATGTTATTCTACCGTATGTATTTGTTTACCTTGTGTATAGTGTATGATGTATATACCGTATGATAATAATAACCAAATATTTCACATAAATCTGAAATACATCAAGAATTTTTGACCCCCCACTACACACCTCTCGGGAATGCTTGTGAGCTGCCTAACGTGATGAGACTTCGTAATGTGATATGTGTGAGTCTTGAAGGAGGTTGTCGACTTAGCATACATCGTGAATCAATATCAAGCCTTTTGGAAGTCAATGTGAGGCATCAGGATTCACTTTGTATACCACGAATGCAAGTTGAGTTTGTGGTGGGAGGGTGAAGGGAGGGGTGGGGAAGGAGAGAAGGAGGGAGATGGAGGGTTGGTGGGGAGAGGGATGAAGGGAAGGGAAGGAGGAGGCGAAGGAAGGGGAAGGAAAGGGATTTTTCCTCTATTGGTTTCAACTTTTTCCCGCTGTGTTCTATATCTGTCGGTATCACAACTACCAAAACTGATTTATACTCCGGATTAGTTCCCTATAGGACTCTCTAGCACAGTGTAGAACTCCCTGGTACAGTATAGGACTCCCTGGTACAGTATAGGACTCCCTGACAAACTATAGGACTCCCTCACACAATAAAAAAAACTCCCCAAAAGTTTACATATCCTCCCAGACTAGCACCCTGAGGAACTCCCTCCTACAGATACCTTCAGTCTTTGACACGGAGAAGAGCGACGCCTCGGTAACTACATTTGACTACGGAAGGTGTTTGATCTCTGCCTACGAGTTTTATTGTTAGGGAAAAATATTATTCTCTATTTTGTTTCTGTATCGTTAATTCATCCTTCAGGAGAGAGAGAGAGAGAGAAAAAAAAAAAAAAAAAAGAGAGAGAGAGAGAGAGAGGTATAGCTAGATCGAGAGAGAGGAAGAGAGTGAGAGATAAATGGACAGCGAGAGAGAGAGATAGAGAGATAAACAGAGAGAGAAAGAGCAACAACCAATAGACCCTCTCACTCAACACACCAGTCAGGCATAACACAAGTAGACAAGAATATTACAGTAAACATGCATGGAGGGTCTTCCTGTGACCTTAACCTCTGACCTCTGCATGTCAGGTCACAAAGTTACCCCAGAAAACCTGACGTGTAGGGAACAACAAAGTCCTTGTCAACAGGATTTCAGTTTCTATCCTTCCTTGTGCCTCTTTCTTTCTTTCTTTCCTTCTTTTCTTTCTTTCTTTCTTTTCTTTCTTTTTGACCGTCTCGTGTTATTCTGTCCTTCCTAGTTCCTTTCGACAGCTCAGTTTCTCTTCTACCTCACTTATTTCTCCTTCCTTGTTTTCCTCACTTCTCACCACACTCTCCACCTCTTCCCACTCCTCCTCCCTCTCTAACCGGCTCTATACCCGGCTCCACATCTGGCTTGACTGCCCCTCTGAAATACCTTCTCATCTCGCCTGGATGTTGACGACACACACTCTCTTCTCTCTCTCTCTCTCTCTTTCTCTTCTCATTAATTCCTTCCTTCCTTAACTCTTCATTTGAATATCATCTTTCCTTTTTCCTTTGCCCTCCTCTTTACGCTAAAAAATACACACACACACACACACACACACACACACACACACACACAACACACACACACACACACACACACACACACACACACACACACACACACACACACACACACACACACACACACATACAATTTCCAAGTAAAAGCAAACACCGAACACTTTGGTCTTAAGTCAAGGAGATACGAGGAAGGAAGGAGTGAAGGAGGAAGGAGGGAAGGAAGGAAGGAGGTGTTTATGTGGTACTGAGGAGTGAAGAGGATTTTTGTAGGGGGGGTGATTGAGGCAAGGGGGGGGTGACTGAGGCAGGGGTGACTGAGGCAGGTGCATGAGCCAAGTCTTCAGGATAATCCGTTTGAGATACTTAGGTCGTGACTCAACTGAATGAGGCCTTGGCGACCCCCGAGTCAGGCCAGGGAGACCTCCTTGGAGTCAAGTACGACCCTGATGCTGCAACACACACTCACTCTGATGCTACAACACACACCAGCTACTGCAACACTCACACCCAGCTACTGCAACACTCACACCCAGCTATTCAACATCATAAACACACGTATATTGCAACAAACATATAATGCAATACACACACAGATGTTGCAGTCTCATATTAGTTGTGTTCATCAACTCTGACCTTGCAAAGAGAGAGAGAGACATATTCCTGTGTCTCTTTAGATAAACAAAATCTCTGGGTTTACTGTCACTGTCCTCCCAGCCTGATTGTTTTCCCCAGGATTAACAAGGTACCACTACTACCCCTCCACCACCACCATCATCCCCATCCACCACCCCACCACCACCTCCACCAGCAGTCGACCAATTGTTTTTCGGAGGATTAACAAGCAAGAGTCACCATGAGTCAAACGAATGAATGTGTACAATGGTAAGGGTTTGTACTATCTCGTCTAGGTAATTCTGGGGAAAAAATATGAAAAGCAACAACACTATTTAATGAGGGTTAGAATTTGGGTTACAGTTAAATTGTCCTAGGATTAATTAATCATTTTATTTACCTGTTTTAATTATTATCTTTTACCTGTAGTGTTTTTAAAGGGGTAAATTAATTAAGGGACGGATGTGTAAGAGTGATTGATTAGTTACATGATTAAATAAGCAATAATTAATAGGATTATATTTATTTTATCCTTCTCCAATATCCTGACCCCACAATCCTACACTATGACCCACACACCCACACTATGACCTCACCCACAATGACCCACATCGCACCTGGCCGTCACTGCACCAAGAGAGGCTGCAGGTGTCATAAAGGGTTGCGTAATTACCTGGGTCAACCTGTGTCGCTTAATTTGACGGCGGTGGAGATAATAAGATTACCATCGGCCGCCCTCACTACACCCGGTGTGTGTGGGTGTGCGTGTGTGGCGTGTGTGTCAGGGTAGCGTGTGTGTGTGTGTGTGTGTGTGTTGCTTCTCCCCCCTGCACACTCACTAACAGCGTGTTTCCGGAGCTATCGCTGACGTTCCTCCACCACACAAATAACGAAGAAATCCTCAATTTTCCCTAATTTTCTGGCAGCATTTTTTATCTCCCCAGGTCGGATTTCGCCTCCAATTTCTGGCCTTTTTCATCTTTTTCTTTTATACCGATTACGATGTTGTTGTGTCTGTAATAATCTCTTGAAATATCGGGCGATGACAAGTGATATTTCCGATTTTATATATTTATTATGTAGAAACTAAATTACCTACAGAAAAAAAGTCATATATATTAATAAAGAAGAAATAACAGATTTATTTTTTTTAGTTTTAGAAGTTTAATTTGAGTTATTTTTGGGTTTTTTTTGTAGACATCAATGTGGTGTTGTGTTTAGCTTTAAATAATTTGTAGCATCATAATGGACTTTTAAAACAACTTAACCTAACCTAACCTAACCTAACCTAACCTAACCTAACCTAACCTAACCTAATCTAACCTAACCATCCTAGAAGAAAAAATCAAAGAAGCTTAAATCACGCCTTCAACCCTCCTCCCACGCCCCCCTCCACACTACCATATTCTCCCCCACGCCCTAACAACCTTACACCAGCACCACAACACCACCACAACCACACCACCACCACGACCACACCATCACCAAAACCTCACACGGCCACACCAGTACCACCACAAAAACACCACCACCACAACACCATTACCACAGCACCACCACAACACCATTACCACAGCTCCACAACACCACCACAACACCATTACCACCACCACAATACCACCACAACACCACCACCACAACACCACCACAACACCATTACCACAGCATCACCACAACCGTATCTCTCGTGAGGATCAACTATACATGGACTCGGAGGCAGGAAGAAAAGTGTGTTAAGGTTTACAAAAGAAAATTACAGTGTTCTGAAAACTCGAGGAAAGAATATGTTAATTTCTCGCTTGGAATATTCTCAAAGTTGCGGCAGTCTTGAAGTTAACTGTGCCAGGAGATTATCTTATTTTAGTAGGGTTAGGAAGGGAAGGTTAGAAAGGAGGATTAGGAGGGAGGGATTAGGAGGGGTTAGTTAGGAGGGTTGATTGGGAGGGTTGGTTAGGAGGGAGGTTAGGAGGGGGTGGTTGGGAGAAAGGTGTTAGGTGAAGGGATGGTTAGTAGGGAATGGGAGGACAAGGATAGGAAGGGGTGGATGAGAAGAAGAAAGTAGAGATAAGGTTAGGAAGGGGGGTGTGGGGAGGTTAGGAGAATGGAGGATAGGAAAGGGGTAGGAGGAAAAGGCTAGATATCATGTAAAATGTCATGAAAACCGATTTGACAAGTGCGTGTGAATTTTGTAGCGTGAAAAGTTCCAATTACCTGGATTAGTTTGTATCTGGTTGGGTCAGTTCCATCCAATATCTCTCCTTATACCTCGACCATATCCACCCTTATACACATGACGTGAGAAGGACCACTTAATAACACACCACTTGATACACACACACACACACACACACACACACACACACACACACATTATTACCCAAACAACGTGACTATTTCAAGGCACTAAATTCGACACTATGATTGGCGAGTCTACACAAGCCAGGTGAAAATCCGCCACACAGGTATCGCAAGTGTGTGTGTGTGTGTGTGTGTGTGTGTGTGTGGCTTTAGGGGATAGTGACCACAAGAATACGGTGATCAAGTCGTACTGTCTAAATGGGGTCAAAATAATGGGATCTAATCCTTAAAAAACTCCAAATCCTAATAGGTTCCAATTATTACTAATCTCAAACAACCTAATCATAGCCATTTACATTATCAATTATCATCATTATTTATCTATCCATTCCTACCTTTTATTTTATCATTTGCTTCTCCTTTTGTCCTTGGTAGAATCGACTATCATCCTGTGTCTAATTTATTCCTTTGATTCATAATTCTCTTTCAGTTCCTTCATTCATAAATTCTTCACATTATGAATTCACTATTTTATCTGTCTTCTCTTTGTTCATTTCTTTGTTAAGTATTTTTCATTGAATCTTTCTTTGTCTATTTCTCTATCGGCTTTTATTACTTGTTCTTCTTTCTATGTTATTATTATTATTATTATTATTATTATTATTATTATTATTATTATTATTATTATCATTATTATTATTATTATTATTATTATTATTATTATTTCTATTATTATTATTATTATTATTATTATTATTATTATTATTATTATTATTATTATTATTATTATTATTATTATTATTATCATTATTATTATTATTATTATTATTATTATTATTATTTCTATTTTTCGTTTTATCACATTCTCTCTATCCTTTCTTGGCTCGCTGTGTCTCTTATCATCTCTATCTATCTCTATTTGTCTCTCTTTATGTCTATATGTTTCTCTTCCTCTCTCTATTTCTCGTTCTCTCTAATCTCTTTGTTTATGTCTGTCTGTCTCTGTTTCTGTCTCTGTCTCTGTCTCTGTCTCTGTCTGTCTGTCTCTGTCTCTGTCTCTGTCTCTGTCTCTGTCTCCCATACGCCTACTGTAGACACGCCCACAGGCCCCAACAACATCAAATGCAAAATTCTTATAGTGTCTTTGAAGTGAAAGAGGCGGAGGAGGGGGTGGAGGAGGAAGTGAATGTGGAGGAGGAGGAAGAAGGAGAGGAGGAAGAAGGAGAGGAGGAAGAAGTAGAGGAGGAAGAAGGAGGAGGAGGAAGAGGAAAAGCTGCCCTCACCTCGCCCCGTGCCGCCTACTCCCGGACGATGACTAATGGAACACAACTTCCTTCTGCTAACTTTCAAATTCAAATTTCTAAAATGCGTGAAGACCCAAAGTTACAAATAGAACCTTGTGGCGGTGAGGGAATGGGAGAAGGAGAGGGAGGGAGGAGGGAGGGGAAGCGGGGGAGGAGGAAGGGGGGAGGGGATTATGGGGAATATGCAGACTTGACGAAACTTTAAAAGCAAATATATAAAAGAAAAATGCCAAACGAGAGAGAGAGAGAGAGAGAGAGAGAGAGAGAGAGAGAGAGAGAGAGAGAGAGAGAGACTCACCTCACCACCATACACCAACAACACGCGGGTTCTACTCACCGGGTTTCTTGACGGCGACGATGCAGGGTTTATCTTGTCTCCCTACAGTATTCTCAGCCCAACACTGAAGGGCACCTAGCTGGTTATTGGGCCCTACTTCCGTCACATTATCACGGGGCACGGTGAAGTTAACGCTGGAGAAGGCCCCTATGGAGTTGACGTGGGAGGGGATGACGCGGCGGGAGTAGGAGTTTGTTTCCCACACCCAGGAGAAATGGATGGGTTTGATGGGGGAGGCGTGGACGCGACATTGGGCAGTGACGGTGGCGCCAGGTTCAGCCCAAACCTCCTTGGCCAGAGCACACACGGGCGCGTCTGCAGGAGAGAGTGAGTGTTAGTGGGTGACATGGCCAGAACTAGTGGTTACAAAGAGGTACTCAGACACTCATAAAGGGGGTACTCACACTCATAAAGGGGTACTCACACTCATAAAGGGGGTACTCACACTCATAAAGGTTTACTTACACTCATAAAGGGGGTACTCACACTCATAAAGGGATACTCACACTCATAAAGGGGGTACTCACACTCATAAAGGTTTACTTACACTCATAAAGGGAGTACTCACACTCATAAAGGGATACTCACACTCATAAAGGGATACTCACACTCATAAAGGGGTACTTACACTCATAAAGGGGTACTCACACTCAAAGACTCAAAAAGAGACACACACACACATACTCACAGACATACAGAAAGTATACTCACAGAGGACGGTGATGTTGACAGGTGGGCTGGTTCCTGTACCCTCAGAGTTGGTGGCCTTGCAGGAGTACTCGCCAGCCTGTGTTCGCCTCACACGGTTCAACACCAGGTTGTTCCCGTTCACCAGCACCCGAGCCATCTTGTCCTGGTGAACCTCTATGCCCTGGTGTGAGAGAAAGAGGTTGAGTGGTGTTGGGCTGGTAGAGAGAGAGAGGGGGGAGGGAGAGGAAGTGAGGTAAGGTGTGTGAGTGTGTGTCGGGGGCAGTCATTACTGGGAGTAGCTGCCCGTGTCCACTGTATCAACACCCTGTCACGGTCACCACTCCCAGCCATGATGGTGGAGTGAGGGAGAGTAGGAGGGAGGGAAAAGGAAGAGAGAGAGCGTGAGGAAAAGGGGGGGATAAAGGAAGGAAGAGAAAAGGAGGGTAGGAGAGAAGAGGGATAGAAATGGAGGAAGGAAAATGAAGGAGGGAAAGGCGGAAAGAGAGAGAAACACACACACACACTGCAGACGATTCTTATAGAAAACAATAACAAAAAACAGCTGATCCAGAACCAGCGTTGCGACCCCAAAACACCAGACACGTGATAATAAACATGAGAGAGAGAGAGAGAGAGAGAGAGAGAGAGAGGAACAACACGAAGGTGGCGTCGACGGCGGTGTCGTTTAGGAAAACTGCCAATTTTCCGATACCAATAAAGCCCAAAGATATTACACGCTTCAACATTACCCCTCCACCCTTAACCCCCACACCTCCACCTCCCACACCTCCCCACACCCCCCACTTGATCTGCAACAAACACATCCCTTTTTGTAACATTTTCATTGCTAAGATATACCATCATATCCTCCTTAGGCCAGGTATTCAGGTGTAACTGAAGGAGAAATCTTGAACCGAGAGAGAGAGAAAAAAAAAAAGAAGACGGTCGCTTAAAAAACAAAAGCGAATCGATTCCATCAGCTGAGAGGTAAATGTAAACAAGAACGAGATTGGATGCTTGCCCTCCTGAGTTGTGTTTTCCCAGTAGTAATTGTGAGGAGGAGGAGGAGGTGTGTGTTGCATGGTTCTTAGTACTACAGGGAGGAGAGAGGGAGAGGAGGGAAGAAGACCAAGAATAAGAACAAGATCATTAAGAAGAGGAGGAAGGGAGGAAGAGGAGAAAGAATAAGAGGAAAAAGAAGAATAGGTGGAGAAAAGGGAGTAGGGAAAAGAAGAGGAGGAAGGGGGAAGGAGAAGCAAGAGGAACAAAAAGAAGAGAAAAAGGGAGAGAAGGAGGAAAAAGAGTAAAAAAATGAAGAGGAGGAGAGGGAGATTCTGTTGATACGAGTAAGAGATATGGTGAAGGAAATGAGAGGAACGTAGGAAGAAGACGGAATAATGGATGATAAAAGACGATAATGACTAAGACGAGAGAGAGAGAGAGAGAGAGAGAGAGAGAGAGAGAGAGAGAGAGAGAGAAACTACGGGAAGAAGAAACGAGGGAGAAACATAATTGGATAAAAGGAGGAGGAGGAGGAGGAGGAGGAGGATGATGAAGAAGAAAACACAAGACACTCAGATCGTATTTCAGTGGCAATGATCGACCACCAACTCCTTAATTTCAGTGGTATGAGTCACCTGTTGGTTGGGATCTTAGTTGTTTACAAAAATTAACACCTGAGATTTCGTTCCAATGGTAAAAATAACCACCATTAACATGTCCAATGGTAAAACACCTCATTAACTCGTTCTAGTGGTAAGATTTCCCCATTAACTCATTCCAATGATATAATTCACCCCATTATCTCGTTCCTATGGTAAAAATCACCCCATTAACTCGTGCCAGTAGTTGCAATCACCCAGCAATAACCCGAACCCAAATGGAGTTAAGTAAGAAAAATCACCCCACTGGCTCCTCCCGTGTTAGTCCGAATATCGACAATCAACTTGACGAAAAGTCACTTAAGGTATCGGACGAGTGACTGTCGTAAAGAAAATGGGAAACACAGTCCTCTTTAGTCTCTCTCTCTCTCTCTCTCTCTCTCTCTCTCTCATCAACACGAGACTTCACACTTCCACCCAAAAATAAAAACTTACGTGTGTGTGTGTGTGTGTGTGTGTGTGTGTGTGTGTGTGTGTGTGTGTGTGTGTACGAATATATATAGTATATTTAAATGTGTATGTGTACCCCTAATCACCCACTTCCACTACCTTAACAACACCAAACTATACGTAACCCACAACTCACAACAGCAACAGAGGAGTGTTTACAACCTCACCTCGTACCCTAACAATGACGACGAGTGATGAAGACACAACTGAGAATGGCAAACCAATAACATTTCTTAAGTACAATTGCTTCGTGGCCTCGTAATGGTCAACTCTCACTCACTCTTATGATGTCCCAAGGTGAAATATCTACGGTGGGGAATCTTCCATAGCAGGATTAATGTTATGTCGTTATTATCATCTTGGTCGGAAATATTTTGGTGTTAAAGTGAGAGGATTTGAGGTAGGGAGTGTGGTCGGGGGGTGACGTGGGATAAGGTGTGGAGAAGTGGGGTGGTGTGTGTGTGTGTGTGAGGGGAGGTAAGGTCAGGGTGATAGGTGTCACACCTACAATCAAAACAAAGCACACAGCTATTAACTAGTAGGTCAGGCTCAGCTGGGGGTCACGCTACCACAGGATAACACTATATTTAGAGTCACCTCTCGATGCTGAGGGAAGGAGGGGTGGGGAGGGAGAGAGACGTTGGTGTTCTAGTGAGGAAAGGAAGAATCGTGAATTGTACATTAATATTTAATACACACACACACACACACACACACACACACACACACACACAAATAAGTCAATAACCTAACCCTAACCTAACCTAACCTAACCTATTAACTAACGTCTCCGTCTCACCTTAACAGAACACCTCGCCTATAAACTTAAGTTCCAAACCCATTCTGACTCTCCTTAAAAGCATCTCCTCAACATGTAAACATAACCATATGTCTCACTTCCTGTCTCACTTTCTCTCTCTCCCAGAAAGATCATTATATGGCGTGTGTGTGTGTGTGTGTGTGTGTGTGTGTGTGTGTGTGTGTGTGTGTGTGTGTTGGGGGAGGGGGCATGTGAGGCCCGGACACTAAGAGGCACCCAGTCTACCTTCACCATTAAGCCTTAGGGGCCCATCACTATCGGGGCCCAAGAAGGATTGGGACCGCTCGATAGAAACTGACACCAATCCTAGAAGCAAGATTAGATTAGGTTTAGATTAGGTTATATGAGATTAGGTTAGGGTCTATTAGGACAGGATTTGGGGCCTATTATGACACGCTGCTTTTAGGACAACATTATTAGGATTCTGGCCGATTAGGACAGACATATATGAAGACTGGGACCCATATATCTATCACCAGTACAGAGAGAGAGAGAGAGAGAGAGAGAGAGAGAGAGAGAGAGAGAGAAAGAGAGAGGTGACTCATAACACCGATCTTTATAGGCAGTTACGATTAAATTCCTTCCCTCACGACAGGTGTGGCGTCAGACAGGTACACGATACTATGCTCATGTTACTTGGATATTATTATTATTATTATTATTATTATTATTATTATTATTATTATTATTATTATTATTATTATTATTATTATTATTATTATTATTATTATTATTATTATTGCAGTTATTGTTGTCATTAAATTATTACTACGAAGTGTATATAACACAAATTAGGTTTAACATAGGTAAATTAGATTTAACATGAAACAAACAAAACATAACAAAAAGCAAACACAAGAGAACCTAGACATAACAAAAAACAAACACAAAACAAATACAAAAAAATAACACAATAAAACAAACAACAAAAACCAAACAAGCAAAACAAACACAATAAAACACAGATAACAGCAAGTAAACACATCACGACTTGTATCTTTTAAAACTTGGGAGCCTGAGTCTTCACCACTTGTATGAGAGAGACTCAAAGTGTTAAAATCCTTCACTTGTAAACTTCATGTTGTCAGCCACTTTCTTTCTTTCTTTCTTTCTTTCTTTCTTTCTTTCTTTCACTCGCACTTTTCCACTCACTCACTCACCCACCCATCCAACCCACACCACCCACCACCCACCCCACCCACCCATCCAACCCA